AAGTTATGATGATTACGAACTTTACACGAATAACAACAAGTTATTATGAGCAGTGATTACTATGAATAGAAGCATTGTGAACGCAAGCATGATATCTACATCAGCACATTGTCCCTGGGATATCAATGTATATGTATATGATAGTGGGTGGGAAATCGATTCAAGTATGACCAGGAATGTCTGGCAGCTATGTTGCATTAATGACAAGACGAACAGTTAAAGCTTCCGTGCTATTTGTATTAATAACAGATAGAAATATATCCTCACCTCGTACAGTGATATATGGGACTCGGGTAATGACATTAACAAGGAAGACACATATTGTTATTTGGGGTGGTGGTGGTAAAGCCTAGTGGGTCACACCGAAGACATTAGTTCGATTGCTAATGTGTGTACAATTTAGGAATCCCATTTCTGGTGTCACCCTCTGTGTTATTGTTGGAATATTGCCATAAGGGAAGTAAAACTGTGTACATTCTTGCTGTGATAAGATTCCAGGATTAACGAGCGAATGAGTTGTGTTTTACAATTTCATCAAGGTGATGAAAGGCAAACATTATCGAACTCGTGTACCGTTTTAACGTTTACCACTTAGGCATAATCCACAACTGCAGGCATGGAGACGTTTGACCGAGGATAATTTTGCCCTGGCTTCCCCAAATATATGTATTATTTTTCTGACACTCCCCTAGAGACTATCATATTTTGGGGTGACACTACCATGATGTGCCCTAACCACCTCCCCTCCAAGCTTCTTTGCCTTTTACTCCAAATGAAATCTGTTTCGTCGAATAATCGAGACTGGATATTCTCTGGCTTTGCAATTTACATCAACTGACGGCCAAGAGAAACTTTGCATTAATTTTAAATTACTCAAGTTTAAAAACCCAAAAGGACAGAAGCATGAAGTAAAATGTAATGTTAAGATCAAAATCTCAACGACATTTGAATTGACAGTCAAACTGCAGCCGATATTGGTATGACAGTTTGAATTAAGGTGCGGTTGCAAAAACAAGCTTTTCAACGTAATAGAGAAAGGGTACACACATCTAAAATCACTCAAGACCAATGAACGTTACATCAATAGCGTGTATGACCACCCCCTTCTACAAGACACGCAAAAACTCCCAGAGGTGTTCTATGGGGGGCATGTCTGGGGAGCGAGCGGGCCACGGGAACACGTTGACGTTGTTAGCTGCAAGGAAGTGTCTGGCGTTGTCAGTCTGATAAAGGACACCACGTGGCAGCTGATGTAGAAATGGTAGGGCAATCGGACGACGAATGTCATCCATTTAACGCTGAGCTGTCAAATTGCCGTTAATGATGACCAGTGGTGTTCTCTCCTGCCCACACATTCCTCCCCATACCATAACACCCCCTCCACCAACACGATGTCCTCTATCAGCTCTGAACAGGCAGAACCGGCTTTCATCAGAGAAGAAGATCCCACTGCCATTCACTTCGCTGCCAACGACGTACTGTCCATCTCAATCTCTGACGACAATGTTGCGCTGTCAATAACTGTCCTCTGTAAGGTCTGTTAGCCCTAATTCCGTCAGCCCTGAGTCGCCTGGCCATTGTCTGTCGACTAACCATATGCCCAAAGGCACTGTCAGTAATCGATTCCAGAGATGCAAAGTACGAAAGTACCGGTCTTCATTGGGCGTAGTTACCCTGCGTTTGCCTGTTCTTGGCCTGTCTGATGTCTGCCTGATCATTCTGTAACGTTGCATCAGGTTAGTTACAGCAACACGGGAGCAACCGAAAGTTGTATCAATGTGGACATGGGTGGCTCCAATTTGTATCGTACCCAGGGCACACTCGCGTTGTTCGCATGTCATTCGTGACAGACCGCCTCCGTGGTCTTGTGGTAGAGCGTCCGCCCGGAGAGCGGAAGGTCCAGGGTTCGATCCCGGGCCGCGTCATACAAAAAGACGTTAAAAGATTGTACTTGTTGTTACCCTGTCTGGCGCTCGGCATTAAGGGGCTAACACAAGGACTGGTCGGCTCGGAGTCAGTATACTGTGTCTGAGTGGGGTATTCATGTTAAACCGCGGCATGGTATCTCAGTGAGCTAGCACTATAAATCGGCATCAGTCCGGACTAGTACAAGCAGCCACACACACACATACACGTGCATGCACGTCGCTATATAAGTGCAATAATCTTGGACGCGACGTTTAACCCAATTTCACCTCACCTCACCTCACCTCATTCGTGACATTTCTGTTGTGTCTGTTTCATCAGTATGAGTTTCTGACATGCCGTCTGTATCATTTATGTACCCTTAATGCACGTATAGTTTCAGTTGCCCATGCGTCAAGTGTTTTTCACTTTTTCGAATTTTCTACAAAAAAAACCTCGTGCCGTTGACGTATTTCTGCAGAGAGCGTTGTTGTGTCTGGATGATGTGTTTTGCATTGAATTAGTTTGAAATTGTGTTTTTGTCGCAATTTCTTTTTTAAAGTGGTAAAGTTGGTTTTGGTCGTCAGTTTATAAGGTGGTACATATTGATATTGTATCTAAGTTGGCTTGGGGTTATGAATAAACGTGACAGGAATATGGATTTAATCACCCAGGGATGTAGACCAAGACGTGCAAGAGAAGAAGCAGAATTATTCTTTTTTCATCGATAACCCACGCTCTGAAGATTAAGTTAGAGATGTCAGTGGCAAGCATGTTCCCTGATCACATGTGGAAATCACAAGTGGGTTGGGGCATTAAAGCATTCCGACATATCGGAAACTCCATTCCGTGATACCACCTGCTGTGACGAATAGAGATTGGAAAACGAGAACCATTGATTGAGGAGTTGGACGTGGATTCATGTAGGGAGGTCTGAATGTAAGCATTATGTTTTATACATGAAAAAATCCTTCACATTTTAAAGTCATATTTTTAGACGAAGTAAGTGCTGGTGAGAGGCTTTGTAAAGAAGCTTACAACACATTCCATTTATTCGAGTGTATGTATATGATCCGGTTATACCAGGGTGTCAGTGACAAACTTGCGACTTGCAAATACATAAAAAATGTATTTCTAGACTATATGCAGAAATTTCTATGCATGTTCTGTGTGTAATTGACCCCGTATACACCCCGACTAAAATAGCCTCGCAGCGTTGGTTTGTTCAATTCACTGGTTCGATTCCCATGGGGACAATAATTGAAGCCAATATATTCTGGTGCTCCGTCGTTTATGGATATATTGCTATTTGTGAGTGAGTGACTGAGTGACTGACTGACTGACTGACTGACTGACTGACTGACTCACTGACTGACTGACTGACTGACTGACTCACTGACTCACTCACTGACTCACTCACTCACTCACTCACTCACTCAAGGACACATAATAATATTTTTTTTACGTACCATTCATTATCAATGGTCACGTATGATGAAGTTTGAATATTGATGCACAGGTAGGACATACTGACGACAGTGATCGGTGATCCACTGTAACTGGTGCAAATTCGAACTGACATCTTGCTATTAAACGGTTAATATGACATCAAAGCGGCAGATGTGATTCATTTCTATAGCTGTGATCATGACACGTCATAAATGTACAGCTAAATAGCGTATGTTCACCTTTACAAGAACCATTTCTATAGCCTTCAAAACATACCATGCAAACATTGGTTTCAATAGCGAACAGCGCTAGCTAAACTGAAATATTTACTTATATTATAAATGTTCTTTCACTACGCATCTGTTCATGCAGCGTCCTTTCAAGGACAGACTCTCAGCGTGGCTTGCACACAAGAGGCAATTCTATGACGGCCTCACATGTGCATATTTCTCACGGTCAAACTGGGGTTTGTTTGTAAGACGAACGTATAACATGTATGTATAGTATATCGAGTACTTTTACTGTGGACACATGTTAAATCTATCCGAGTTGATGTTAAAGCCCTTGGGGAGAGGGTATGTACGCCAATGCTCAAAAAACCCGATATCTATCTCCACCGTGTGGTCAATCTGAGTGAGTTGATAAAACCGTTATAATATTTTCATATATGTTTGATTCTGAACATAATATTAGGAGCCTCGAGTTGGGAACTGTTGTTCACCATATCGTAAACAAGCCTGATATGCCAATTAGCACGTGCAACTCTATAACCTCTAAGGTTATATCACTAACATGTTGCTACAGGTTTGTTGTATATTTTTCTGATCCTCTGCTTTTAGCACGTGGGGTAGTGCAAGATTAGTATAATATATTTTAATTCCTCACCTTCTTACTGATTGGCATGGCAGAAGCTGAAGTCACGTGCCAGCAACAAACACATACTTTTTTCTGCAAATTGTACGAATGGCGGGGGGTACGGGTACGGCAGGACATGCTTACCCTTTTCGCGAACACCCGGTGTCATCACTGATTGACGGCTATTTTACCCTTTACTCCCAGTGGAATCTGTGTCGTAGGATAATCGTGACTGCTTCACCCTGGCGTTGACGATTTATATTATTGAACTTGTGTGCAACAGAGAGAGCAGGCTCCTTAACACCTGGTGTCATCAATTATTTTGAGTGATCAATTCATATACCTTTCATCACTATTTGGCCCCTTACGCCATATGAAATCCGTTTCGGCAGATAATCGAGACTTGCGTCAGAATTGTTGTGTGTATTACGTCAACAATGTGTTGAGGCGTGTGAATCATAACCCGTCTGTCTACAACCTCGCTTATCTTGAACCATATTGATAATAAAAAGCTTAATACTTATGCTTAAATTGTCTTTATCACTGACATTGAGCCCTTGGTCCAGACGTGGTTATTTACAGACCGCCGTCATACAGCTGGAATATTGCTGAGTCCGGCGTTAAAAAACAAACGAACAAAATCTCTTCCGTATATATTCTTATCATTCTTGAACCCGTGAATTAACAGGAATATCCATACAATGAAGATTACAATTTATAACTCTTTTGGTTCTTTTACTCGTGTTATGAATGTACTGGCATATACTTATTTGCATTTTTATTGCTTACAGCTCCCCTGCCTCAGATCTTGCTGCCAGACGAGGTGTCTTCAGCCGGCGCCATTACGGATCTGTGGAATTGGTAAGTCCTCTTGCAGGCTGAGAACAGCATCGCCAAAGAATCAGTTTATAAGATTTCAATGCTAATTGCGAAATTGCCTGTACGCCGTAGCAATTTCCGTCCGTCTTTCGCCTAGTAATTCAGAAGACTTACGAGAATCCCGACACTCATTCTTAACACAGAGTCTCGTCTACAGCGGAGTATTTTACTGGTACAAATAGATCGCCACGTGAGGGATTGCTTCTTTTTGCATAATACATACGGTATATATTACATAAGACATCAAAGGCGCTATGTTTTGCAGTGTGGTAAGGCGGGATATATGCATGTATTTCAAAGACGTTAGGGCGGTAGGGTATCTAGTGGTTAAAGCGTTGGCGTGTCACCTGGGAGGGTTCGATTCCCCACATAGGTACAATACGTGAAGTCCACTTTTGATGTTCCCTCGCCGTGGTATAGTCAATTTGCTAAAAGCGGCGTAATCAACCTACTCAATCACTCACTAAAAGATATAATTATAAATGTGCCAGCATTTCGGTGATCAAAATATTATGGGGGCCATGGGTGGCTTAGTCGTCTAAGGCGCCGCGATTCGTTGTGCAGAGTTGCGTCCCTTGGGCATGCCAGAAACCTATGATTGTGGGTCCGAATCCCGGTTCGCCCCGATTATGTTTCTCAGTTTGTCAGCACCTTACCCGTGCTCGTCGGTTTCACCGAAATCTGCATCACTTCAGGCTTTCCTCCACGTTTAAGCTGACACGCCGTGATATAACTGGAATACTGTTAAAAGCAGCGTTAAACCCAACTCACTCACTCACTCACTGCACTACATCAAATTCATCAAACTTCATGCATGGTATATTCTTTGCTCGCATCCGATATTGATACGTTTAAGAGTGTTAAGAGTATATGGTACTATCAGTAGCTGTTATTCCGTGTACGAACTATGTGTTGACACCAGGTGTTAAGAGTATATAGTACTATCAGTAGCTGTTATTCCGTGTACGAACTATGTGTTGACACCAGGTGTTAAGAGTATATAGTACTATCAGTAGCTGTTATTCCGTGTACGAACTATGTGTTGACACCAGGTGTTAAGAGTATATAGTACTATCAGTAGCTGTTATTCCGTGTACGAACCATGTGTTGACACCAGGTGTTAAGAGTATATAGTACTATCAGTAGCTGTTATTCCGTGTACGAACTATGTGTTGACACCAGGTGTTAAGAGTATATAGTACTATCAGTAGCTGTTATTCCGTGTACGAACTATGTGTTGACACCAGGTGTTAAGAGTATATAGTACTATCAGTAGCTGTTATTCCGTGTACGAACCATGTGTTGACACCAGGCGTTAAGAGTATATAGTACTATCAGTAGCTGTTATTCCGTGTACGAACTATGTGTTGACACCAGGTGTTAAGAGTATATAGTACTATCAGTAGCTGTTATTCCGTGTACGAACTATGTGTTGACACCAGGTGTTAAGAGTATGTAGTACTATCAGTAGCTGTTATTCCGTGTACGAACTATGTGTTGACACCAGGTGTTAAGAGTATATAGTACTATCAGTAGCTGTTATTCCGTGTACGAACTATGTGTTGACACCAGGTGTTAAGAGTATATAGTACTATCAGTAGCTGTTATTCCGTGTACGAACTATGTGTTGACACCAGGTGTTAAGAGTATGTAGTACTATCAGTAGCTGTTATTCCGTGTACGAACTATGTGTTGACACCAGGTGTTAAGAGTATATAGTACTATCAGTAGCTGTTATTCCGTGTACGAACTATGTGTTGACACCAGGTGTTAATAGTATATAGTACTATCAGTAGCTGCTATTCCTTGTACGAACTATGTGTTGACACCAGGTGTTAAGAGTATATAGTACCATCAGTAGCTGCTATTCCGTGTACGAACAATGGTGTTGACACCAGGTGTTAAGAGTATATGGTACTATCAGTAGCTGTTATTCCGTGTACTAACCATGTGTTGACACCAGGTGTTAAGAGTATATAGTACTATCAGTAGCTGCTATTCCGTGTACGAACCATGTGTTGACACCAGGTGTTAAGAGTATATAGTACTATCAGTAGCTGTTATTCCGTGTACGAACCATGTGTTGACACCAGGTGTTAAGAGTATATAGTACCATCAGTAGCTGTTATTCCGTGTACGAACCATGTGTTGACACCAGGTGTTAAGAGTATATAGTACTATCAGTAGCTGTTATTCCGTGTACGAACCATGTGTTGACACCAGGTGTTAAGAGTATATAGTACCATCAGTAGCTGTTATTCCGTGTACTAACCATGTGTTGACACCAGGCGTTAAGAGTATATAGTACTATCAGTAGCTGTTATTCCGTGTACGAACCATGTGTTGACACCAGGTGTTAAGAGTATGTAGTACTATCAGTAGCTGTTATTCCGTGTACGAACCATGTGTTGACACCAGGTGTTAAGAGTATGTAGTACTATCAGTAGCTGTTATTCCGTGTACGAACTATATGTTGACACCAGGTGTTGAGACTATTATAGTACCCGTAGCTATAATTCTGTTGGTGGACCGTTATCAGAAGACAGTTGTTGACACCAGGTGTATCCAGTACTACCGGTAGGAACTATTCTGTATGTGGACAATGATCATACGACAGTCATTGACACCAGACCAGGTGTTCATACAGTATGGTACGACCGGTACATCTGTATGTGGACAATGACACTAGGTGTTGAGAAAATATAGCACTACCGTTCGGGGGCCATTCTGTATATGGACAATGGTCACAAAACAAGTATATTTGATCTGAACCCTGTTCTAATTTTCACTCCATCTACCTATACCGGTGCTGCTTGACACTGATACGACTGACTGATCCGATCCATTTGCCCTTCGATTTGCGTAAGTGACTAATATTTACTTGATTTCTCGCCTTGTGTGTAAGTGATTTTTGTGTCCCATTTAGCTCATATCAACACACAAGGCATGGACGAACTGACGTACTTCCTTTGTCAATATAGCATAATGTCCATTTTGTATTTTTAATGCCTTGGAGCACATGCTCGTAATTGAAATCCCGTGTCATGGTGCTCAACATGACCAATTCAAAGTTCAATGTTTACATGACTGCAGCTTCGAAGTAAACGCTTTTGGTGAGATAAGGATATCAAAACATAGTCAACAACGTTCACTCGTACACGAGAAAGGACATCAATCATGATTGTGATGATCGGTTGGTTGGTTTGTTGTTTAACGCCGCACTCAGCAATATTCCAGCTATATGACGGCGGTCTGTAAAGAATCGCGTCTGGACCAGACAATCCAGTGATTGACAACATGAGCATCGATCCACCCTATTAGGATCGATGACATGCATCAACCAAGTCAGCGAGCCTGACCACCCGATCCCGTTAGTCACCTTTTACGGCAAGCATGGGTTGCTGAAGACCTATTCTAACCCGGAATCGTCACGGGTCTAGTGATGATCGGAATACGGTTAGTTTGTGACTCATGAGTAACTAATGTAAAGATATTCAGTAAATAAGTCGTTAATCTGTGATGTGCCGTCATTAGGGTCCTAATCTGTTTACAACCGCGAATAACCCTACGGTTACTCTGGCCTAGTTTTTCTGTACGTAAACGGCCATGTTTCATCAACCGTACTTTAAACACATACAATCAACACAAAGTATACGTTTGTATCAATCAGCCTTAAAAAGTCCCTACCATTCGATTATTCTAAATGTCATATTTTAACTACCCGTGTTATTCACATGTAATTATGCTATAACACGTTATCTGTAAGGGTTTAGTTATGGCAAACGACATTAAGAAGAAGTAAACATATTTTTTTAACGTTGTACAACTTTAAAAGCTTTTAATATAATGAACACACTCCTGTTCTTTAAGCCCCTTTCCGAAACTCTTCATTTGTGAAAATGAACCGGTATAAGAATATTGATGCTTTAGCTATGACTCTGAAGGTATCCATGACAACGACGTTATTGCCGAAGGGAAAAGTGTCCTTTTTACGCGTACATGTAATATCAGTAGGTTGAAAACATGGATTACAATTTCTCATTTAAAAGTTGAAGCCAGCAGGCCCATTACTACTCATGCGGATGCAACTGATAATAATGTTAAAATAAACTTGTTATCCGAAAATACACGACAAGCAATTATTACATCGCTGAAATGTAACACAAGAATACATCGTTGTATTGCAAGTAGGGACTGTTGTTCAATAGTAAAAGGAGAAGAGTAAAATGAGTCTAAATTAATTGTAAAAAGACTTTACTCTCAGAAATAATAACAATCTTTTGACGATCGGTTACTCATTTAATTCTCTGATATGCATCATTGTACATGTTATTTGGTTACTGTCCATATGTACACAACAACGCTAAAGGCTTAAAAATGTAGTTTATTTTGCAAAATTCCAGCGAACCAGAACTCCGCAGATCTTATGCATAATATAACACCTTTACTTCATGCATATTATAATTCAACCTAGGAAACGACCTACAATCTTATAATCAATAGTTGTGGATAAACAATGGCTGTCATGCTGTTCGACATTTCAAAAACTATTTCACATCTAGAAACGTTAATTCATACTTCAGTTTGAATTTGTCTCTTACAGTATGGTTCGAAGGCAACGAAATTATGTGAGTGGAGACATCAAATGTACTTTTGAGCTTGAATTATTTACTTTGCAATGTACGAAGAAATATTTCCGTTTCATTAGGTAAGTGACGGGTTACCGACATAGGACAATCAGCCATTCAGTTTGTCTTTGACTTACCCTGGGATCTCTTGCGATGTTGTATGCCACAATGCCTAAATTATAACTACTGAGTTGAGAGTATTAAAATAACCCTCAAAGAATGTGACTGTTGCTTAGGAATTGAAATTGTGCCTGAACTATTACTAACGTTAAAGACAAGATTCACTTCCATAGCGTTCTTCAAGAGTAATTATTGAATTATCCAGAGTTCCAATTGGTGGTTTGATAACACAAA